TGCCCCTCCGTAATGCGATCCTTTGTGCCAAATTTCACTTTAATATCTTTATTTATGGCTTAGTTCTGACACTTTATATATATCTCAATTTTTACTCAAGCTACAGCTTGCACAGACGGACGGACAGACGGACGGACGCACAGACAGACGGACGGACAGACGGACATCCGGATTTCAACTCTACTCGTCACCCTGGTCACTTTGGTATATATAACCCTATATTTGACTCTTTTAGTTTTAGGACTTACAAACAACCGTTATGTGAACAAAACTATAATACTCTCTTTAACAACTTTGTTGCGAGAGTATAAAAATGAGTAAATAGGTCGTAAGGAGTAAGGACATCATTTATAGAACAACTCATTATTATTTGCATATTTTCTGGTGGTAAAATCAATTAGAAATGAAATGGAAAAAAAAACATGTTGCCAAAGAATAACAATTGAATCAAAGTTATCAAGAACTTTGTCTAGTCAAATATTTTTTTTATTTCAGTTTATACCTAAGAGATTTACCATTTTCACGTTGAGAGCTTTTTCGACAATAGACGAATTTATTATGTTGGTCCAACTTGCTAGTAGTCTAAGTCGATATGATTTGAGTCTAAAGAATTAGCGTAATGGTAACATAACGTTATTAATTTGCTACAATACTGATTATATTTGCATAAGCACTTCAGGAACATATTGGTTTGACTCTTTACTTGCCTAACCGCTACCAAAAAACAACAACTGTAAGTTTAATGTGGTCTTAATTTGTACAAATATATTTACGCAGAACATGTGTGACCAAAAAGCCATAGCACCCTTATCTTACTATTAGTGAAGGGAGGCAAATAAGTGTAAAAGTGGTGTAAAAAAAGTTTACCAAAAAATTAAAAGATTGAAGTTAATCTAGGAAAAGGCAGTCAACAGTAATTAATCTGGATCAGTTGTAACACAATTTCTTCAAAAAAAATAAAAAATATGACAGTCAGAAATTAACAAAAACTAAATTTTTTACTATGACTCCTACACAAGGAAATAAAGGAAAAATGTATATACGAGGTGTGTTCAAAAAGTATCGTGAATTTTGTGTTTTTTCAAAAATTATTTATTTACGCACATAAACAATTTTTGAATATCTATTTTGTCCCCTTCAAAGTAATCCCCATGAGATATTATGCACTTATGCCCATGGTTTTTCGAAGCACTTCAAAAAATCATATTTTTTTTTTATCTTCGTCAACTCCTCCTTCGATGCCGTCTTTATCTCGTCAAGATCGTCGTCCTTTCATGGTCCTCTTTAGTTTAGGAAACAAGAAAAAGTCACAGGGGGCCAGATCTGGGGAATACGTTGGCTGCGGCATCATTAGTGTGTTGTTTTTGGCCAGAAAGTCGCGCACAAGCAACGATGTGTGAGCAGGGGCGTTATCGTGGTGCAAAAGCCAATTTTTGTCACATCTTCTCGGCCTTCTGAGAACATTTTGTACCACCGATAAACGTTGCTTCAGTCCAAGGTAGCTTCTCCGTATGCCGCAGTCAACATTCGGAATGCATCCGCGCACTTAATTTCGTTTTTCACACAAAATTTGATACAGGTTCTTTGATCCATTTTGTTGAATAGGTAAAAATCGAAGACGATCCAAAACACGTGCAAACAAAACAGCTGTCAACAATTAAATGAACATTCAAAATGGCCGAGCTTGTCGGCATAAGTGAGAGACATGAGTACCAACGTACCCCACGAAAATTCAAAATTCGCCATACTTTTTGAACACACCTCGTATATAATTAAAAAGACCAAATCGTGTTTTATATGAGAATCCTTACTTTGTTATTTATAAGTTTGTTTTATTAATATAAGTAATTTCTATTGAAATTATCTCAGACACAGAGCAATTATAAGTATCAGAAACCAAGAGTTGAAGATCAAATTCAGCTTAAAAGCTTCTTTATAGTTTACTTATATTTCATTTTTCATAGCATTTTAAATATGCTTATTTTGCAGTTACCGTTGTCCTCCATTAACATCATTTGCATACAAGTCTCCTCTGGGTATATGAGTTAATGTCACGAAATGCAAACAATTTCCTCTTTAATATATATTTTTTTCCACCATTTTCTTATAATGCCTCTGCGGATACTTTGTTCAAACTTAAAAATGCGGGAAATGTCCAACTTTACTTGCCTTGTGCAATGGTAAGTGGTGGAGAGTTTAATTTGACATGAAAAATAGCAGAGAAAGTAATTTATATTCGTCACATCATTCAGCTGGGAAAATGTACACGTACAGTTGAAAGCAACATGTTGTTAAATAACGCACAGCGAGACCATGGTTTATATATACATCCATATCTATATATATTTTTATGTTTTCTATGTAGGTACGTACATATATATCAGTTAAAGACCACGACCAACGTGGCCCCCATTTGTACTAACAATCATATTTTATGTTCATACAAGTAGAAATTATTACCTAAAAGTTATTATATTGTTTTGGTTGTAGATCAAGCTTTGAGAATATATCTTCTTCTTCAGCCCGACGAAAAGCTTAAGAACTTTATAGCAAATTATTGCAAAATCAAATATTATTAGCGATTAGGAAAAATCGTTAAACCCTTTCTGCAATACTAATTCAATTCAAATCACCAAAATAACTTTTGGTTTTTATGTATTAATGGCTCATCGTGTATCAAGCAAGAAACAATGTATGGTATGAAATGAAACTACAGTTCAAAGCAATTCTCATCCTTCTTCTTTAGTTCACATTCTCTATTTATTATATATACCATAATTCCGCTACTAAGTGCACTACTAGCTGTTCAATGCCACAGAACTAACAGACTAGTAAATTGAATAAAAACGGCACAATGAAAATTATGATGAAAGGTCATTGGTTTAGTGCTGCAACAAGTTACTGTTTACAAATGTATGCCAGTCTGTTGGCAAAAGGATAGTTTTGCTTAGTAATTTCACAACGGAAAATATTGCACAAGCTAGTCTTTACAATGAAATTTGTTATGAATGCAGTGAAGATGAAGAATATATTAGTTTGTCAAAAAAGTCTTGCGGTATTTTCACTAGTTCGCGCTGAGAGCGCGCAGTTCTAGTTTTTATCGGGTCATGCTATACCTTTCTGGAAAGCTCATATCACGCGCTAACACGTATATGATTTATTGTCGTTTCTTTTAAGTCGTTAAAGAAAAAATACGGCATATTTTACAGTACTACTACGATAAAGGCAAAAATGCATCTCAAGAAACCAATAAAATTTGTGCAGTTTCCATTTCCACCGCACAACGATGGTTTCAACGTTTTCGTTCTGGTGTAGAGGTGGTTAAAGATGCGCCACGATCCGGAAGGCCTGTCGTCGAAAATTGCGCTAAATTGCTGAATTGGTCGAAAGAGACATCAAAAAAATGTTATGAACAATTGAAAATTCAATAAAAAAATACCGCAAGACTTTTTTCACATCCTATTATGTATATGCATGTAAAAATCTAACAAAAATATTATTTCAATAGTTGTGATTTTTCCTTTGCCTGTAAACTTATGAAAAGTGAAGTTGCGTTATTTTGCATTTTAGGTGACGATATATATATATACCAAGAAAGAAATATTATACATATATATGTATATGCAAATCTCAAATGTAAATATTGAAGTCACACAAATAAATATAATCTCAATTAAATATAAAATATTTCTTTTTTATTTCAATTTCAGCTTTAGATTGCTTACAAATATATAGCGAAATAAAATACTTTGATGAATGAAAGACTAAATGCAATGAAGTTAACCACACCGTAGAATATGCTTGTATATGTAGGTATTCGGAAGAAATTGACTATCAGCTGGTTGAAACCATCTTCTATAGGTATGGAAAACCAGTTCTCACCAGATACATAGCAGCTATTTCATTCATGGAAATTTTGAAAGTGGGTGAGAAAATGCGCATGAGCTCTTCAGCACAGAGACACAAGACCAATACTAGTTCATAAGTATAATATAATATTATATATACACAAACCTTATTCTCTTGCCACAATTAAAAGCGAAAGATACCATGCAACATGTGGTTGTTGCAATGTGAGATTTTTAGATGTTTTCTAGTGTTGCCTGCAACATGTTTATAAACAATGTCAGATATATATACAATTATATACTTATATACTACAAATATATAAACCAACCTTTAGCGTTTTTTTTTTTTTTCTCGAAAAGTTGCTTAGAGTGTTCTTCAATTGAGTGCCAAAACGAAAACCAAATAAATTCCTCTGTTGCACATACAAAAACAAATTTGTGCAAAACAACAGAAATTTAGACAGTTTTAATCATTTCTTAACTACTTCAATATTGTTGTCTGGAGTCTTCATTTCAATAAATCTATCTAATATATAATATAATCTATCTACATGTATTACTTTTGAAAATAGCCTGAAGGGTCCTCAAATATAATCATTTGGTGATTATATATGTGGGACCGACAGACGAACGCAAGACAACTAGAAGTGGGCGTAACTTTTAACAACTATTAAATGCGACCCTGCAAACTTGACGAACAGAATGACGAAAAGACGAAGATGAGAAAGCAACGGACGGTAAGGCGTACTTCGAAGGAGTCAGTCATTTTATGGTCATCAAACCTAAAAGACCATCTAACATATTTTATAATAAATCTAATTTTAAATAAACCTAATTAAATTATTTAAAAATAAACCGACTTTGATTTAATTCAAACCTACATTGATAGTATATAAGTATATAAGCATTTAGTAGTTATATATTCTAAATACATATTTCGCTATAAATAATTTTAATCAGTCGTTAGGAAGTTTTAGACTATATTTCATTTAACTTTCCGTTTGCTGTTAAATGTTTATAAAAATTTGTATAAATATTTAAGGCAAAACAAATATATTCCTCATACTCAAGCCATACCAAATTTTTATGACATTGAGTTACTTTAGTGAATAGTTTTATAAAAAACTCAAATTGGAAATGAAATGTACTCACAGTTCTCTTTATAAAGCCAATGTTGGGTTAAATTTTTTCTAGTCACTCCACACACTTTGGTGTAGACTTCCTCTGTGCAGATGCCATTCAAGCGCTCTTCGTCCTAAAGCAAATGTGGAAATATTGTGCATCCGATAAATACTCTTTAACACAAATAGTCTTTAGCTTAATTCAGTTTTTATTACGTTATTTAGTTTCTTTTCGCTTGTCTCACTAAGCGGATGAGCGAGGACTAGTTAACGGTAAGATTTATATCACACTAATGAAAAGTTCGTAATCACTTCACTATTTACGGTAAAAAAAAGCTATCAGACAATTTTTCGGCTCGAGTGTTGACTTGGCAATATGACGGTAAATGACGTGAGAGTTCTGTAAATGAATTGCAGAAAAATTTATTTTAAGTTGAAATGTTATACTAAACTGTGAAAAATAATAGAAAATTTAAAAGTTGTTTTAGTAGATGTGTGTATATGAATAAACGTTATACGAGTATTTAAATTCAACTAATTTAGTGAAAGTTACACATTACTATGGTTTAAGAAAAACATAAATAAATGCTAAAATAGTTTAAAAAGCAAATTCAATTTATTAAAAATAAATAGTGAAATAAATTTTTGCAGCAGTGAAGGCATAACAGTTTTTAGGCCGCCCGGAGCACGTAAAACTTTAAACGCGTTTTTCTCGAAATGACATTTTTCAAAATTGCTGGTGTCACAACTGAACGAGAAATTGTCCATTCGACTTCAAATTAAAACTGAGTATTTTTAAATACATTTACTATACAATGACCAACACTCTTCTTGAGTGGTTGAAAATAGTCAATTTGACCATTTTTTACCTAAAAAATTATGATTTTTTTTTTTTTCAAAATTAGGCAATTCTGTAAATTTTTGATATTTTACAAAGATCATAGGTCATTGTAGGAAATATATTTAAGTTTAAAAGCCTTTTCAAAATTTTTTGTTTCAGCTACTCATTCGGCCGGAATCTTGCCAGCAGTTGGGGCACTTTTTTTGGCACCTCCGAAAACAGCCCATAACTCCGTTATTTTTCAACATTTTTGTAAAAAAAAATCTTAAAATATAGCTGAAAATATACCTTATTACGTTCAAGGAGTTCGAAATATTGAATGGCGTACTTTCTCTTAAAAAAATTTACGAAAATCGCCTAAATTTTTATGCTTCACACTGGTATAGTCCCTTAAGACACTTTACAACTACTTATGCATTGTTTTTGTAGTTAAATTGAAGTGTAGTGATTTAGTAAGCAAAAAAGTTGCGACGAGAAGAATGGCGTGCAGCCACGCCTACTTCCCATATAACACAATTTTAAATTTCATATAAAACTTTCACTTTCCAGTATACAACTACAAGATGTATTAACATATCAAAATAAATTTTTGCAGGAATAGTGCACCTTATGACTAAAAATTGTCGGAACGGAACTAGAACTGAGCAAAGCCCAGGAGCTGAATATTTGTACCCAGTGCTTACAGTTGAATGTTTTTGCAAATATATTTCTAATAATTACTAAATAAAGGGATTCGCAGTTAATCATTATGATCGTTATTCAACCTATATTTATATATATATACATATTATATATATAATTGCGATAAGATATGAACGCAAAACACTTTTTGGTTATTTGCTTCAGTACACTGTTGAAATCAGTATTAGTCGAAGGCAAGCTAGAAATAAGTTGCGATAATGTTGCTAGAAGCAGAAAACACCGTTGTTATTTTCCTCTAAATATATACTCGTACAAGTTTGTACTTATTCATAGCATTTATCATTATTACAATTATCAGGCTTCTACAATTCATTTCAGATACTTTTCTTCTGAGCATACTAGTTAGTACTTACACTATTTTATCACAATTTAGTTTTTGGTATTTAAATTGAAAATAAATTTTATTTTAATTGATGGCATTTGACCGAAGTTTTGAACGATTCTTAATTGTGTGAATAGAAACTGCATTTAAGTTCATTATTGAAAAGATTTTTTTTTTTAATAATTGTACTTCATATCCAATATTTCAGTGTGTGTTCTACATAAATTAATATGCATGTGATAATAGAGGCAAGCTGTCCAGTGAGCACATGCAAATTAAATCTAATAATAAATGAAAATAAATTCCATAACGAAAGATATGGAGAATAATAATTAAATGCTTGGAAAACATAAATCGAACGAGCAAAATATGTGTAATGACCTTGTGTAAAGATTTTTTTTTTTTTGTTTTTTTTTTGTTTTTTTTTGATATTAATAATTAAATGCTCGAAAAACATAAATCGCTATATATATTAAAACAGAATTTGTCAGCTTAAAAAAATATAATGCAGTGTCAGAAAACAAAACAGATTTCGCACTTTTAAATAATAGTAGAGTCTTTTTACGAAAATAACATATTTTTTGAGGCGAAAAGATATTATATATAGCCATGCAGTTTTTCACTAAATTATAGCACGTAAACGATTTCCTAGAACCGCATTAAGAGTGAATGAATTCGGATAATTATTACATCGGAATTTGGCGCCAACTTGAACCGGTAGAACATATCAACATAATATAATTTCTCAACAAAAAAATTGCCTTAGAAACATTTCTTTTAAAAATATCCCTTTGTCAACGAAAGAAAGTGCAGTAAAGAATTAAACGAGCAATTATTTATAACGACCATCTTATAGGTTCTCCATTACGTATACGTAACCTTGAGAACTAACCAAGCTGTTTACAAATAATAGGATAGGTTTATAAATTTTCGCTAGAAATTTTCTTTAAATAAACTTATTTTTACCTTTGTGTTTGCATACAATTACACAAAATTACTATATATCTTTAGAGGATAAATTTTTTTAGCCACAAAATTTTTGCGTACTTTGTACATTTTAATGCATTTTTGGACCACCAATATATAGTATATACATATGTAATTGCGAATACCGCACGCAATACATATGTACAATGTGTATTTGTTATTTCATTTGCTCCATATAACAAAACGGATGATTAATTGGAGAATGCGTTACGAATTCTACTATAAGATATGATTGTGAGTATGTTATAAAACTTTTAATTAATGAAACGGGAATAAAATATTATACTGCTTTTTAATTTAGTAATTTATTAATTAATGTCCATTGAAAATTTAAACAAAGACTGCTGCCACTTGTGGAAGTGAATTTCATTTGCTATCACTACTAAATAACTGATTAATTAGTTAATGCATTCACTGAGCAAACAGCGGGATATATGAATTGTGTCGTTTCCAGTTGATTACATGAGCAATGTAGTATTTTTTACTCTTTGAGAACAGCCAGGCATTTGTTTAACTTTAAAAAGGATATTAAAGGTTATATCTCAACAAATTTTTTGGATGTTAACTAAACACTTTGAGCCATTTTCTGCTGAGCTCACATAGAACAACTCCTAGCCGACTTGTGCCTTAACGATGCGCCTCTATGCGAAAGCGTTAAGACACAAATGTATATGCATGTATGGACACAGATGTTAGTGTTCAACTATGTATTGTATATAATGTGCACTATACACTAAGTATTCGAGTTGGCTCTTGCACGCACTACCACCTTCAATGAGCAACCTTAACCAGAGTATTCTAGTGCCGACGATCTGTGGCAACTTCACCACTAAACAACCGAGTATTTCACCACCTTATGTATATTTAATGAATACTTGGTGACCTACTAATTGGTGCTCCCGCTGCAACAGCATTTGCGACTACCACTCAAAAGCATACGCCCACAAGCGTATAATTAAATGTGACATTATGAAATAGAGCAGAGTGTATGTATTTGATTATCTTATGAGATACTTTAGAGACGAATAACATAATTCGAATGTTTAGCATCAAAAGCTTGCTTGGAAAAAGAAACTGGTTTGTAAGTAGTTGCCGGTATAAGTAGTTGCATTGGTTGGCTATGATAAACTAGATCAAAATATATCCAATATATTTGAAAACACAGATAGCAATCCTTCCACAATGGCGTTTTTGTATTGTATTTAAAAAATGTAAAATTCCAAAAATACGAATATTCGAATACGGCTGAAAATAACGATTAATATTTACAAAATGCTGACCGCCAATTAGATTGCCTACGGTAGTAAATTATTTAAGAGTGGATAATGTACAGTTTGGGATACTGCTTTCATTAAGTGCGCGGATGCATTCCGAATGTTGACCGCAGCATACGGAGAAGCTACCTTGGACCGAAGCAACGTTTATCGGTGGTACAAAATGTTCTCAGAAGGCCGAGAAGATGTGACAAAAATAGGCTTTTGCACCACGATAACGCCACTGCTCACACGTCGTTGCTTGTGTGCGACTTTTTGGCCAAAAACAACACACTAATGATGCCGCAGCCACCGTATTCCCCAGATCTGTCCCCCTGTGACTTTTTCTTGCTCCCTAAACTGAAGAGGCCCATGAAAGGACGACGTTACGCTTCTCTTGACGAAATAAAGACGGCATCGAAGGAGGAGCTGAAGAAGATAAAAAAAAAATTATTATTTGAAGTGTTCGAAGATTGGAAAACCCGTTGGCACAAGTGTATAATATCATGAATAAATAAATAATTTTTGAAAAAACACAAAATACGCGATACTTTTTGAACTCACATCGTATGTGTTATTCTCAATTATGTTATTATACAGAATAAGTCATTTAGTACCACCACAACTGCTTAATTTATTGTGCGCTTATAATTGACATTGCATTTAACAGAATTGTTAAATGAGTTAGCTCAAAATTTCCATATTTCGTGCAACAATAATAAAATTTCAGTAGCTCCAAAGGTCAGTTCATTATGCGTCCTAAAAATTTTGAATCTAGTTGCAATTACTAAGTAAGTGCTCAGCACACCATTTGCTTGCTACTATTATGTTAATTAGTGTATGTGTTGGCAGCCTGTTATACGTTGGTGTATGCTTCTGTATAGTATAAAATAGTGAATCTAGGTTGCATATCGTCAGCTAAAATGCAAAATAACGTAACAACATTCTCGGAAATTTATAGGAGAAAGAATTAAACACATTATAAAATGGAACATGAGTTAAACAAAATTTAAATATCGGTTAAAACTGGGTTATATTTGATAGCAGACCCTTAAAATGTTGTAGATATGTACTTATATGTATGTAATTTGAAATAGTGGGTCGTAATCAATGAAACACTCAGTTTCCGTTATTTTGCATTTTAGGTAACGATATGTGGAACCGTATATTTGTGAGTCCAACAAATTTATTAATAGATGCAACGGATCACTGCGCTGAACAACAAAATGCCTTAATCTCACCATAATGTTTAATAATTTGGCAGAAGCAGACTCTCTTCCAAAATGCTATTATGT